GAGAGAGGCAAGGGAGGGAAAATTGAACGTGCGTGCAAGGGACCAGGATGACAGGTGGCACTAGAGCGGCAGCGCTCTCTTGGCGCGGTCTCCTCCGCCAGCCCGAGGAAGCCCCAGGCGGGAGGTGACGGCGCGGTGGCAGAGGGCGCCCAGGTTTTCTGGAGCCACCGCTCCACCGTGGTCTGGCCCCGTCGGGCATCCTAACTTTCAGGTGTCAGAATGGGTGGCCCAAACCAGAGGGGTTTGGGGAGCTCAATCCCTGCGGGCACCACAGCCTCAGCTCAGAAATCCCCCGCCACAAGTGTCCCCAGACTGCGCGCTTCTGGCGCTTACCTGGGCTTCACCGGCCGGTCGCAGCCCGGGCGGTGGCGGTCGTCGTGGCCGGCACCGGGCGCCTGCTCCCCATGGGCCGTCTCCAGGGCCTCCCGGCCGGCGAGCAAGAACGCGTTCTCCCGCTCGGTCTGCTCAGCGCGCTCGCGCTCCCCTTCCCCCGGGGCGGCGGGGGCGCTCTAGGGCCGCAGGTTGGAGGGGTCGGACTCCGGGATCTGCAGGATGCGGCACACGGCGCGGATCGGCCGCACCAGCTTCTGGGCCGAGGCCGTGGGTTGCGCCATGGGACGCCGAGACTCCGTGCTGCGCCGCGGGGAGGGCCGGGCCGGGGCTAGGGAGCGGGTGCCCCCGGAGGCAGAGAAGGCGCCGGGCCGGGGGGAACACGCGCCCCGGGTCGGAGATGGCCGAGTGGGGGGAAAGGCCGAGGGGCCGGGGGAAGGGGTCGTGCCTGAATGGGGGCCGATCCCAAGACCCAGGAGAGAGGCACCGGCGAGGGCGCAGCACCGCGCAGCGCGGCTAATGGAGGTAGAGCGCGGCGGAGAGCGCAGCAGGACCTCTGATCGCCATCGCCAGACTCGCAACTGAGAGTGGGGAAGCTGCTCCGCCGGTTTCCTCCTCCAGCACCCTGAGGGAAACAGGAGCCCGTGATTCGGCGGCCGCGCCTGGGCCTGCCCCCTCCCGGGCCCCGGGGGCTTCCGCCAACGCCCCGGCGATGCCACCGGCTGCGCACGGGGAGAAAGAGCCCTTTGTTCCCCCTCCCCCCCGCGGCACCCGGGCGCCTGCCGAGAGAGGCTCCCCCGGGGCAGCGTGCCAGCTTCCCAGCTGCCCCACCCTCCCGTGGGCCCGGCCCCGGAGCCTGGCAGGCGGGCGGCACCCCCACTATAGGTGCCAAGCCCGGGAAACTGGAGCAAAGGGCGGGAGGGGCCGGACCAGGCCACGGTGGGGCGGGGTGCCCCCCAGGGTGCTAGGGTGGGGCGGCTGGGAGGGGGCAGCGCCAGAGCTGGCAGGGGCAGTCGGGTTCTCACGGGTCAGTGATGGGCGCTCTGGCCCACGCCAGCCGGATTGTGCCTGCCGGGCCACTGGCTCCTGGTCCTCTCCAGCTCTGGCACACGGCACGCCCCACTGGCCTGTGTCTGCACTGCCTCATCCTCACCTGGCCAAGCTGCTCTTTGCCATCTTCCACCCCAAACTCTTCCCAAATCCCTTCCAGAGTTCAAGGGCACAAAGGGTTGTGGCCTAGGACCTCTGGGAGGGCCTGGGCTTGGGTATGTCCCTGGTCTAAGGGCCTTGATTTCGCCAAATGTCTGGAGAGGTCATGGGCGGGGATGAGCTCCGACACTGGCCCCAGACCCCGGGCTCTGAGGGTCTGCCCCATCCCCAGGGTTCCTGGTGCTTTCAGGCCCTGCGCTGGAGAGGCGCCCATGGGAGTGGCTCCCAGGAGAGCGCAGAGAGGAGGAGAGGAAATGGAAAAGCAGGGCACCCTCCACCCGAGGAAGCATCCCGGCTCCTCTGCGGGGGTGGTTCCAGCGCAGACACAAACAGACAGATTCAAACACACACAGACAGATTCAGACTCACACAGAAACCCACACGCCCAACGGGTGCTTCCCTTCCCCTCAGGCACCCACCTCCCACCCTCAGCTCCCCTGCCTCCCTGCCCCTTCGGAAGCCTTCCTCGGCCTGCCTGGGACCGAAGCTGTACCCCCTCTTTCCCATCCCATGAAAGTGATGGGTTCTGGATGTCTCTAGCTTGGTCCCAAGTCACACCACTATCCCTGCAGAGGGGAGCCCTGAAGAGCCAGAAGCCTTCCTCCTAAGGATGAGCAAAGACCTGGAGCCTTCTACCAATTGAGGAGGAGTGGGGTCATGAGGAGAGGGGGCCTAAAGCAGCTGGCACTGGGCAGGAGTAGGGCCATGTTGGCATCGATTCAGCCCACCCCAGGCCTCCCCCCAGAGGCCAGTTCTGTGGCAGAGCAGGCTGGTAGGGGTTGTTTACATGACTGAGTTAGTAACACTCCCTTCCTCCCCAGCTCCCCTGGGGGTGGCAGGGACCTGAGTGTGCCAGGGGAGCTGCTTGTAGAGGGTCTAACATGGACTGGAGGCCCCAGGCCCTGAGGCCCGGCCTCACTCCAGCTGGCTCCAGGGGTGAAGGTGAGGGGCTGGGGTGTGCCTGTGGTCCCCCATCTGTGTCCTCTGGCCTCCCTCCTCAGCAGCCGAAGCTTGTGGGAGCGCCAGGGGGAGATTCCTGCGGCTTGGGGCCTGAAAGAGGCCAAGATGGGCGCCTGCGCAGTCCAGAACCCTGAGGGCCTATCGCTGACAACCCCAAAGGGGATGGGGACTATCCCAGGGGAGGGGGACAGATTCCCCCCACCCCCAGTTTTCATGTCTGCTTTGTCAGGCCCCAGTCCCTGGACTAGAGCAGGGCTCTAGGGGACAGACTCCTGAAAAGCCCAGGGGCTCGTAGGGACTTGCAGGGTGGGAGGAAAAACCTCTTCCCCACCCTCAACTGTTCCCCATCCCACTTGGGAACCCATGCCACAGGCCCACGGAGTCCTTGTAGCCGGCTGTTCTGTGCCTGAGGACGGAGCAGAGCGGAGGAGACACACAGAAGACACAAACACAGAAGGGAAGCCACACGGCGCGTGGACACAGTGCCAGACTCGTGGACAAAGGCAAGCTGACCGGCACCCCCAGCCACGCGTGGGCCCAGCCCCAGCCCCGCACCGACCCCTGGCGCGCTGACACACACACGCTCGCTGACACACGCTTGTGCTGACGGACACAGCAGCACTCACGAGCCGGTGGCCCTCCTGCCATCCCCAGAGCCCCTTACCTGGGCAAGCACAGTGCCCCCCGGGCAGAGCAGCCCCCGGCCCAGGGGAGGGCAGCAGGCGGGGGCGGGGGAAGGAGCCCCGGAGAGTCAGGCCAAGCTGCCACTAATCCGGGCGGGGAGAGGGGGGGCACCCACGTCAGAGCGGGGACTGCCGGGTGGAGGGCATCTGAGGACATCCCCTCCCACACACGCGGCCGTCTGGGCACCTAGCCCTGCTTCCCCAGCCCCTCCATCCTTCAGACAGCTGAGGCTGGCCTCCCCCCACCCCCCCACCCTGTGGCAACGCCTGGGGGGGGCATGGGGGAGGGGGAATACCAGGTGAATTCTCCTGGGACCCGCAGTGGGGAGGAGGGGAAGGGAAGTGTGGAGATGCGTTTGGAGCCAGGAGGAAGCTCCGCAACAGACGCTGCCCTCCCGTCTCGCCCACCCACCTGCATCCCTGACCTAATTCCTCTTCTCAGTCCAAACCTCCCAGCGCGCCTCCCCCCACCTCCCCTCCCCTCCAGGTTACCCCCACAAGCTACCCACCTGGGGAGGGGAAGCCAGTTCCACTCTGCCCTGGGCTTGGGGCCTTTGTGCCTAGCCGGAAACACCAATTGTGGCCCCCAGGACTTCTCCAGCAGCAGAGAATCATCCTCCTGTCTGAGCATCTGCCCCCTACCCAGCTCCTGAGACCCCCGGTCCCTGATGCTGGGTAGAGGACGAGCCAGAGCCTGAGTGCCACCTCCTTAACCCCCTCAAGGTGGGGGGCAGTGCCAACCAGGATGCCCCAACCCAGCCTGGGTCAGAGCTATGTCAGAACTAGAGGCTAATCAGTGGCAGCTAAAAATACAGCCAGTGTGTGGAGCGCACATGGAATTGGAGGTGGGGAAGGGGACCAGGACACAGAGGTCCCCAGGCCGAGAAGGTCGGGGATGGGGCTGAAGACACAGGGAGGGAAAGGAGCCACCTGGAAGCACCTGGCAGTGGGTGGGGAGGAGAGAGAAGAGAGGAGCAAGCAGGAAGGGCCATCTGCACCCAGAAACCAGTGGGGAGATAGAGGAACCCCTCAAAAGCAGACGAGCTGTATACAGGTGAGGAGTGAGACCAGGGCACAAACCGAGTTGGGTAGGGGCCACACCCAGGGGACGTGTGCAGCTCTAAGGGGGCTGGCTGTGGCAGCTTCGTGTCCCCACCTTTGTGCCCTGATCCTGCTGGGGGCCCACTGGCTGGTGGGGAGGAGAGGGCTGGGGACCCTGGGCAGGCTGGCGTGCAGCTTACTTTTCCTCGAGAGGCCAGGCCAGAGTGGGTGGAGGGTGAGACAGGAACCCCCTCCAGTGTGCAACCATGCTGGGCAAAGCTGAGGTCTCAGGGGTTCTCAGAGGGGCCAGGGTTGGCTCTCAGGGAAGTCCAGTTGACAACCAGCGCCCTGAGCCTCTGGGTCACATGCATGCTCACCCAGAAATGCCCCAGAACTGGACTTCTCCTGGCTCCTTCCCCTCTGGCCCCATCATGTGTTGGAATTCATACAACTGCAGTCACTGCTCACCAAACCCATGTTCTACGCTTTGCGGTGGGCCCCAGGCAATCCAGGGTACAAAGGCAGAAATCACAAGGCCATCCCACACGCCTCCCCCACCCAGAACTCGTGCTCATTGTGTGCATTTGTTCTTATACCAGCAAAAACTCCTCCAGGCCTCATAGGTGTTGGCCCAGTGCTGGGCGCTGGGGGAGCTGGGCTTGTTCATGAATGATTACCAGATGCTCCCAGTCCTGCCCTGGGGCAGGCAGGGGAGCTTCACAGACAGGTCAGAGAATGAGCAGGACTTCACCACCCAATCGCAAACTCACAAAAATATTTCACTTCCGTTAGATCCTTTTTTCGGGGCTGAGCTACAAGTGTGTAAAATATACATGTTCTTTGTGAAGTCACAATACAGTGGGGGAGAAAAGGTAACGCACTCAAGGCAAAAGCAGAAGTCTGTGCAGGAACAGAGGCGGTGAGGTCCAGACAGCAAACCACTTCCAGGTGAGGGAGTGCTGGCGAAGGGCTTCCCAGAGAGTCTGAGCGGGGTTCTAAGGGAAAGGCGGAATAGGATACAGTGGGATGGTAGAGGAAGAGCATGTCAGAGGTCAGTATGCACGGGGCCCTGCAGAGCCAGGAGACAGCCTGATTGATGAGGTGGCAAGGACAAGCCATCTTGAGCTCTGCCAAGGGGCTCAGGTGGCCCTGTGGCCCTCACCTGTTCTAGGAGGGAGGGTAAGTGAAGCCCTCACCCCAGTGAAATCTCCCTCACCACCACACGACGTCAGGCCTCTCCCCAACTGTTTTCTTTTGCTTTGTTTTGTTTTGACATTCATCACATGTCCTTCTGGGTTTGTTTTTCCTTGAGATGGAGTCTTGCTGTGTCACTGGGCTGGAGTGTAGTGGCACAATCTGGGCTCACTGCAACCTCTGCCTCCCGGGCTCAAGCGATTCTCAGGCCTCAGCCTCCTGAGTAGCTGGGATTACAGGCACGCGCCACCATGTCTGGCTAATTTTTATATTTTAGTAGAGATGGAGTTTCATCATGTTGGTCAGGCTGGTCTTGAACTCCTGACCTCAGGTGATCTGCCTGCCTTGGCCTCCCAAAGTGCTGGGATTACAGATGTGAGCCACCGCGCCTGGCGCCTCTCTGGTTTTGTTCCCTTGGTCTGGGTATGTGGATCCTGCCAGCCCACCTCTGTCAATGCAACTCCCAGGCAGAGGTGCATCAGGAGTCAGGGTCCCCGACTCACAAGCAGCATGATGGTAGACAAGTTGTTGTGGCTCCAAGCCTCAGTTTTTCATCTGTAAAATGGGTATAGCCCTACAGGTACCGTGGCTCATGCCTGTAATCCCAGCCCTTTCAGAGGTCAAGGCAGGTGGATCACTTGAGCCTCGGAGTTCAAAAACAGCCTGGACAACATGGGGAGACCCCATCTTTAAAAAAAATACAATAATTAGCCAGGTGTGATGAACAGCACCTGCAGTTCTAGCTACTCAGGAGGCTGAGGCGGGAGGATCCCTCAAGTCCAGGAGTTCAAAGATGCAGTATACTTTGACCGCTCCACTGCATTCTAGCCTGGGCGATAGTGAGAACCTGTTTTAAAAAATGGATGTAGTCCCTACTTGACAGCCTTGTTGGGAGGATTCAAGGAAATCATCTCTGTAAAATGCCCAGTACAAGGTCAGGCACACAACGAATACTCCACACGTAAGCCTCCATGTCCTTGCCTGCCAGGCAGGAATCATCTCCCTCACTCTGGTACTGCATAGTGGTTAAGTGCACAGATGCTGCAGCCAGACTGCCTGATTCCAAGCCCTTCTGCTACCTACTAGCTGTGTGACCTTGGGCAAATCACTTGCCCTCTCTGTGCCTGTTTTTCTGTTTGTAAAATGGAGATTCTAAGAGTTGTACATACCCCCCAAAGATTGTTATGAGGATTAAATTAGTATATGCTAGGGGCTTAAAGCAGCGTCTGCGTGGGCGGCCACACTCTGGTCGCCAGCCGTCACTCCCCCTGCAGTGTCTGGCATGTTGTCTGGTACCTGCTCAAGGCTCAGTAGAGATTTTTTGAATGAATTAATGGAGATAAGACAACCCCACGATGCAAAGACAGGCCATGGTAGAATGGCAGCGAGCACCCATACATGAGGAGCTAAACTACCGCGGCAGATTACAAGCCTCCCCCAAATAAAACCCAGATAATCCCCACACCAAGAGTTAATCCACTCTCTGAGGCCACTCCAGGTTACCACCCTGTTTCCCCTCTTCTCATCCCACACTCTCACCCACCTCTTTGCTTAATCAAAAGCAGGGAGGAGGACCAGGTGTGGCGGTGGCAGAGGGGCACACCCCAGGCATCATGGCGAGACCAGCATCAGCATCAGGGCAGGAGAGGGCAGAGCTGGGTACCCAGTGGCCCCAGGGATTGGAGGAGGGGTTGGAGTGGAACCAGCCAGGCAAAAAACCTTGGTCTCAGGAGAGCAGAGTAGACTCCTTGGATGGGGCAGGCCAAGGACCAGTGACCACAAGCAGCAGGGAGGGACACTGGAGGCCGTCCAAGTTCCGCCAGGCCCAGCAGGGCGAGGTTCTGGCCAATCTCCCAGCCCCACCCTCCTTGACCTGGAAGCAGGGGGCAGCCCAGATCCTGGCTGCTGCTGCCCTCTCGTGGCCACTCCTCAGAGGTGCAATGCTACCCCTGCTGTTACCTGAGTGTTTATACAGAACTGGATGTCCCCAGAGCTGCCCCAGGGGCCCCCTTCTTCCAAGCTCCCAGCGGAAATACTCCCCAGGCCTCCCCTGCCTAGCTTGACCTCCCTATGGGACTAACGTGCTGCCCCGAGCCCTCGCCTGCCTGGGCTCCCACTGGTTTCTTTACAGCTGTACCTTCCTGCTAAAGCCTCTCAGCCTATCTGAACTCTCTGGTTCTGACCTGTCCTCTGGACTGGTCTCCCCTTTCCCACTGATGCTCTCGGAGCGCCCTAAGAGCTTTTTCGTGGAATCACATGCTGCATCACAATACTCTGTCAATGACTCTGTCTCCTCCAGAGGACGGGGCTCCTTCAGCCTTAGACCTAGGCTGGGACTGGGCTGTTGAATTTCAAGGGTATGATGTCAACACGGAATAAGACTCAGGAGAAACAGAACCCCTTTATGTATTTATTTATCAAAACATTCGCAAACTTGACCTCACTCACCAACACACACACACAACCAGGATACACACGCCTGACCTTATGAAAGGCCATCAAGTACTTAGAAACAGGAAGGAATGAGCACACCCCGGTGGACTTTTGGTTTCAGTTGCAGGGATTCCAGGAGGGCTCTGGTCCCACAACCAGGGAAGGAAGAGGCAGAGCAAGGCAATAAATAGAATGCTGGCCTAGCCTACTTTGGTATATCATGGTGCATCCTGCCTGTGGCCTTGGCAGCATCTGCTCCCAGCCCTTAACCATCAGCAAGAGCAAGGAGGGCGGGGCCCAGCGGCCGGAGCAGGCAGGCCAGAGGCGCAGCCAAAGGTCTCTCCAAATATCCCCGGAGCGCCACAGGGAACGAGGTAAGAATGGTCCAGATGCAGCAGACCCTAGCTGTCCATGTCTGAGGGCACAGTCTTTTTCCTCGTCCGAGCCTTTAGGGAGCGTGAGGTGCCCTGGGAAGAGAGGAGGCCCAGCATGAGGGTATGGGGAGCACCGGCACAGCCCCCCGCCCCCTGCCGTCCTCCGCACTGACCTCCCGCACCAGCGGCTTCCTCTTGATCACACGCAGGCTCTGGCTGCGGCTCAGGGGCTTCTCTCGGGGCCGGGCTGGTATCCGGGGAACCACCTCAGTATCTGACCAACACTCATCCTCCGTGTTGCTGTCCTGTAGGCCCCTGTCCCGGTACCCTGTGAGGAGGAGGCAGTGAAGCTGAACGCCTGTGGCCAGCCCTTCCTCTAGCTCTGGGGGAAGCCAGGGTGCGCATGAAGGAAGGCATCCCTCTTGTCATGGCCCTGGGCCCCTCTGCCCACTCACCAATGGGTGGCCTCTGATGGGGCACCTGGTCCTCTGGGTAGAGGGCGTCCTGGTAAGCAGGGATGGGTTCGTCGGGGATGGAGCGCAGGTCCTGCATGGAGAAGCTCCGCAGCCTGCCGGCCAGCGCCCCCTGACTCTGCGGGGGGCATGGGGGAGAGGCTTCAGCGGGGAGGCTGCCCAGGGAAATCTGCCAACCAACTAATCACTGGGGCTGAGATGTAGAATTGAAAACTGCTCAGCAAGCTCTGGCCCCGCGCCAGCGTGGCACCAACAGGAAACCAAAGCCAGAGAGCAGGCGCTGCTGCTCACACTTGGTGTCAGAGCCAGGAAGGAAGGTCTGACTTCAGCTCCATGCTTCAGCCAACACTTCCAGACCTTCTCATCCCTGCTCCCCAGCTGCCGTCTCTGGGCTCCCTGGCAGAGGAGCTGAATGGGCCCAAAAGGGCCTAGGGGTGGGATGGGGGCTGCTGGAGGGCCGGGGGCTCATAGCACCTTGGTGGCGGCCTGCACAGCAGCCGAGGCAGCAATGTTGAGGCCCCGCTTCCCGAAGCTGAGCATGGTCTCGTAGCTGCGCTCCTTGGCCTGCACGAGGTATGCGTCAATCTCCTGTGGACCCAGTGGGGAGGAGAGCTCAGGTGGACAGCCTAAGTCCCTTTCCCTCTGCAGATTCTGAGAAGTCACTGGTTGTGACACCACCCAGCCCAGCCCAGCCCCACCTGGTGCCCAGGGGCCACAGATCTGGATCACAAACATACACCAGGAGTAGGGCAGGCCACCTCGGTGAGCGGCCATGCTCCAGCTGCCACCACCACTACCCCCAAACCAACTTCTACTCTGAAAGGTCATTCATGTGCACCCCCACCTGATTATCCCAGAAGATGAGGTAGGCTGGGCTCTGTCAACCTCCGCAGCTCACCAGTGGCAGGACTGGGATTAGAACCCCAGTGTCCCCAGCATCCTAAGTCCCAAGTCCAGGGCTCTTTCCCTCACACCAACCCCTAAGCCTCCCTTCCCGCCTCCCCCTGGGGTACCTTCTCATGGCGGGACAGGGACGGGTGGACAAACTTGCGGTAAAGCAGGCTGGCGCCCTTGGTGTAGGGCGAGAGCAGCCACAGCACAAAGGCCATCTTGATCTCATAGTAGAAAGGGAACCTGTCACAGCACAGGGGGCAGGGTGAGCCGAGGAGCAGGCTGGAGTGGGCCACCTCTGACCCTGGCTTGCAGCCCCTGCATCCATACCAGGAGATAAAAATGTCTGTGACGATCTCTGCTGCCATGAAGAGTGCAAAAACGATCCAGTACATCATCCACCGCACCTGTGGGTTGAGAGCACAGAGGTCAGCATGGGGCTTCCCATGCTGGGAGTCGGCCTGCAGCACCAACTCCCATCCCGGCCAGCCCAGCCCAGAGATTCCAGGGAGCCTGTCCAGCTGCATAGCTGCTTTCCCCCACACAGGGCTGGACAGGAGCTCTGAGAAACTGCTGCTCATTCCTGTGCCCGCCTCCAGTGGGCTTCACCCACAAGATCTTCCACAGCACCCCGATGGCCTGACCTCTATCTACACCCTCTCCAACAGGGTCCCTTCTCTCTCCCTCCCCACTCCACTCAGGATGTGCCACACGACCTTGCCCCTGGAGGAGGGAGAGGTCAACTCAGACCCTCCCCCACAACAAGTCCTACTACACACACCCAAACCCCCACACTCACATATTCACGAATGTTCTTGGTCTTCACAGCCTTATAGGAAGCATAAGCTGGATACAGCATCCCAAACACCAACCTGGAAGAGCAGCCACCGGTAACATGAGGGACCCCGTGCCCCACTCTTATCCCACCAGGTGGCCACTTCCCCCCACTGGGGTGCAAGGTGGCATTACCTACCCTGTTTTTCTCGCTTGGCTTGTACAACCCGTGCCTGAGTCAGAGCCCTGGAGGCCACCTCCCCACCCTGCTGTTTACAAACATCTCAAGCCTGCCCAGGCCTGCACATGTGGCCCATGGGTGCGTGATGGAGCGAGAGGACAGCCACTCCACGAAGTGGGTGAGAACACCAGACTGTCCCCTCCCGTGGGCATGCAATCAGGCCCAGGGCCACCAGACCTGGCACTGCCGGGATGCAGACAGGGCTGTGTGAGCCACGTGTTGGAGTACTCAAAGGTGAGGAGCAGGACGTGAGTCATGTGACTGCTCGGTGGCAAGTACGCGCACCTGGATTCTCCACCCACAACGTGCCGTATCACCTTGTGTTTGCCAAGGACCTGCAAGGTAGGCCTGTAACCCTTGGCCCCACGCATCTGTTTGCAGTGTGTGTGTGGCGTGTGGCAGGGGTCGTCCGCAGCCAACGAGCCTTGGTCGGGGGAGGTTTGGTGGGGCGGGGAGCATGCCGTGCCCCAGGCACCGCCTGCAAGACCACAGGTCCGTTAACCCTTGCATGGAGTGCGGGAGGGTAGAGCTTGGAAAGTTCCCTCTCCCACCACACGTCCCCAGCTTCCACCACAGGGGCGGGAGGCACCCCGGGGTAGAGGAGGTCTGAGGGCAGCCATACTCACACCACCAGGCGACAGATCATCCAGGACACCATCTTGCCGGCCTTGGGGACGAGGGGAGAACCCCAGGAAGCCGCCCACAGGGTCGTTCAAGCAGGGGCTGGGACGGGGGTATCGAGGCAGTTGCGGGAAGCAGAGGGGCGGTCCGGCTGTCCCTCGGCTGAGGCAGAGCCCGCTGCCCACGGCCTCCGACTCTGCAGTTCGGGGGACCTGGAGAATGCGGAGACCCGGAGCAAAGTGGCCCCGGCGGGGAGGAAGCCGACTTGGGAGCGGGCGCTGGCGCGTACGCCCCGCGGCTGGGGCAGTTACGGCTCCGACCCGCCCTTCCTGACGCGGAGAACCCCGTGCTCGGCCCTCGCTGCTGGTCCCGCGCTGGGGCGGCAGGTCGCGGCCTCGCTCGTGCGAGTCGCCGCGGTCCCGGTGCACCCAGCCGCCGGCACCGGCCTGCAGGGCGGAGTTTGCAACTCACTTGAAAGTTGCACGGAACCAAGGGCTGCCCAACCCCAGGGCTCCGGCTCACCACGCAAGCGCAGTGTGGCCCCAGAGGGGGCGGGGCGAGGTCAGGGAGGCGAGAGGCCCGCCCCTTAAAGGGGCGATGTGCCACGGGACTCGCGCGTCGGGCCCACAGTGGAGTCGCCGTCCGGATTGGAAAGATTAGAGTGTGGGAAGCTGCAACAAAAAAAGCAGGGGGAGTGTGGGGATCGGGGCACGAAGAAAATCGGGACTCCAGAGTTTTCGCGACCTTTCACTGGCTTTTCCCAGTGTCTTTCCTTCTCGCCCCATTTTTCCCTGTGTGAAATGGGTAATGGTATGAGATGCGGTTGGGGGGTTATGGGAGGCTCTCTGCAGGCTCTGGCAGGAGCTGGGACGCTTGGCTAAGCGCCCGCAAGCCCGGGTCTTACACCAGTGGGTCCAAGAGGGAAAACGGGGAGGCCTCGGGGAGAGGGAGCCTGAGGCACTCTTCACCCCAGCAGGTTTCAGGGGTTCCCTTCTCTCTGGGATGCCCTTCCAGACGCCGAGGTGGGCTGACCGCGATGATTTGAGGCATTCTGGGTAGAGCTCCCAGCTCCCAAGCCCCTTCTTCACCAGAAGTTTGAAATTCCACCTATTCCTCTGAGCCAAGTTACACAAATATCCCTGGGCCCTTAACAGTAGCATCAGCCATTGCTATTTTGTAATGCGTGTTTGCACAAAAGGTCTTAATCTTTGCAAGCATCCTTTTTATCATGTAGGAAATAGGACGCTCACTGGTAAAAAGTAACTTTCCCGATATCACCCAGTGGTGTTTATTGCTGGTTGGTGGCTACATGCCTGGCTTGATCAGTCTTCTGAGGCATCAGCAGCTGCAGGCTGAGAGTGGCCCTGCAGAGGGACGTGGAACCGGAGAAGTTCCTCTGGGAGGGAGGCAGACAGCTGGAATAAGGGAGAAGGCTCTAAAAAAGAAAGCAAGGCCAGCGTCGTGGCTCACTCCTGTAATCCCAGCACTTTGGGAGGCCCAGGTGGGAGGATCACGAGGTCACAAGATCGAGGCCATCTTGGTCAACATGGTGAAACCCTGTGTCTACTAAAAATACAAAAATTGGCCGGGCATGGTGGCACGCACCTGTAGACCTAGTTACTTGGGAAGCTTAGGCAGGAGAATTGCTTGAACCAGTGGGCAGAGGTTGCAGTGAGCTGAGATTGCGGCCCTCAACTCCAGCCTGGTGACAGAGCGAGACAGAGGCAAATGTTGCTGCTTCTACTTGCCCTGTGAGGTTTCATTTTTTGTGTCATCTTCAGCTTACTGCCTCAATTGTTCCCTCTGCAAAAAGGGAGTACAGTGTCGCCCCGCCCTGCAGAGGGTGGGAGCAAAGCTGTCCGGGCATGTGGGGTGGAAACACAGGCAGTTACTGCTTTTTATTGGAGCCATAGTTAACACCCACCAGCTATCATAAGGATGGAAAAGGTAATGATGGGGCCAGGGAAAGGAGGCTTCCAGCGGGTAAACACATGGTGATTATATGGTCTTAATTATTATCATCAGTTTTATTGGTATTTCTGGGTGTGAGAGCTAGCAGTGAAACCGGCCCACAGGAGAAACTCCCTGGAGGCCCCCATGTCTCCATCTCCTCTCTTAACCACCCCCTCACATTTACCCGTCCCCCTCACACACACACATTGGAGTCACCGGACAGGCCAAGGGCTAGAGGAACCCCTCTAAGGAAGGCCCCAGCCACTGTACATCTCTAGGCACAGACACCGTTCTCTAGGCGAAAAGTGTCCTGGGTCCCCCTGAAGGAGGAAGGGTGTGATCCCCTGATCGTCTCAGGAGGAAAGGGACCTCATGACTCAGGTGCTCACTGCACATGTGACCCTCAGGTCCTTTGGTGAGTCTGCAGAACTGTTCCTTCCCTTCGCTGCCTTCTGGGGCCACGTGCCTGACCTCAGCATCACAGGCCTCTGTCCACCCCCATTCACTGGTAAACGTTCCCTGGTCCCGCCCAAAACCCACTCAGCTGGGATGGTCTACTGCATGGAGACTCCTGGTCCCAATGCCTGTGCTTGGGAAATCTAGAGAAGAGATGTCAGGTCCTTGCTGACAGCAAGTCTCAGCATGGAGGACAAGAGGCTGGCAGCTGAGGAGTGCCACCCTCCCTGGCCTTGGCAGAGTGCGTAGACCTTGCCTCTTGCAGCCTTTGGTCCTGAGCTGTTGACACAGTCACCCAGTTCCCCTGGGTTTCTAAGCAGCCCTCTGGACGTGGATAAGCCCCAGGGCAGGTGACCCGGCAGGCACACACAGAAAGCTGGGCACTCAGTGGCCGAGGGAGGAGAATGCCTCCCAACCCTCAGAAGAGCACCCCCCCATGGGGTTAGCAGCTGTCAAAGTGATATTTATCTTTCTACTGGGCAGCAGAGTGCCAGCATGTCTGGGAGACTCAACCTACTTTCCCTGGCAACCTCTCCCAAGCACAGGATAAGGGCCCATTTCCCGTTTGAAAAAGGACAGCCCTCCCCAGGATGATGGAGGCGCCTGCTAAGCCAAGAGCATGTTTAAGGAGGTGAAAGGCAGATAAGTCACCTATTTCTGGGGGCAAGGAGGCCAGATCAGAGGCTGCAGGTAAGATAGGGGGCACAGTGGTGCCAAGACTGAGGATGGGTGAGGAACTGTCACCCACAGAGAGTTCTCTCCAAAGAGCCACCTCCTCCTCTTGTACAAAACGCCCTTCTCTAAGCCACCTCTGTATTCATATAGTCCTACAGACCCAGGCAAATCATAATTATGTGCTGGACACACTATATCAATGGATTTACATATATTAATGCATTTAAATCTCATGATATATAACCCTGTCAGGGTCGGATGTGGTGGCTCACGCCTGTAATCCCAGCAGTTTGGGAAATGGAGGTTGGCAGATTATTGAGGTCAGGAGTACGAAACCAGCCTGGCGAACATGGTGAAACCCTGTCTCTACTAAAAATATGAAAATTAGCCAGGCATGGGGGCATGGTCCCATAGGCCCAGCTACTCGTGAGGCTGAGGCACGAGAATTGATTGAACCTAGGAGGTGGAGGTTGCAGTGAGTCAAGATTGCATTACTGCACTCCAGCCTGAGCTGAAAAAAACACCAAAAAACAAAAAACTAACAAACAAAAATGCCGTCAGGTAGGTATCACGATTATACCCGTTTTATAAATGACAAAAACTGAGGCACAAATAGACTAGGTAATGTGGCTGAGTGTTACTAGCTGGTTTCACCCACCTAGTAAGCTGGCAGAATCAGGAATCCATGTAGTGGGGTTTTTAATCTGTTTCACAGAAGGAGGAATTGAAGCTCAGGGAAATCAGCTGACTTGCTTGAAATCTCGCACCTAGGGAAGGGACTGAGCCAGAATTCACACCCCTGTTATCCAGGCTCCAGACCCCACTGTCTCCAGTTCTCCGCCCCACCCCATTCCCCAGGCTGGTTTCGAGCTGCTTGGGCTCTCCGGCCATGACCCAGTCCTCTGTGCCCAGCTGCTCACAGGTGCTCGCTGAAGACAGAGAAACGGAGGGGGTTTTGTGACATACGAAAGCTGAAAGGAGTTCGGGAGGACAAACGAAAACTTGAGACACATAAAAGAGATTTGAGCTGCCCAGGGTCACACAGCAAGCACCCCTGCCCAAGGATCCATCATTTCCCCCACTTCCATCTCCTGTCCCTTATACTGTCACCAACCCACACGAGGCCACAAGAGGGATCCATTTACTCAAGCCCATGGGGGAAGGGAAGAGGGGTCCCCCAGTTTGACAACACCTGTTTTGCCATTCAGCACCAGCATTCTGTCCTGAGACTCCATTACTTGCACTGATACCCTGAGCATTGTCCCCGCCCAGCCCCCATCTGACTGTCTCGGACTCTCTCGACTCCACTGGGAAATGTTGAGGGCCCCTGACAGCCCACCAGGCTTGGGTGTGTGTGGTGGGATGAGGTCACAGGGGATCTTCATGTAGGGCAGAGGCTCATGGGCTTGTTGAGCAGGAAGCCAAGGCAGGTTCCTGAGCAGGGGAGGACAGGAGGGAAGTATGTGTTAGAAAGATCAGACCGATGGCCAGGTGCGGTGGCTCATGCCTATAATCTCAGCACTTTGGGAGGCCAAGGCGAATGGATCACCTGAGGTCAGGAGTTCAAGACCCACCTAGCCAACATGGTGAAACCCTGTCTCTACTAAAAATACAAAAATCAACTGGATGTGGTGGTGGGCACCTGTAGACCCAGCTACTCGGGAGGCTGAGGTAGGAGAATTGCTTAAACCAGAGAGGCAGAGATTGCAGTGAGCCAAGATCATACCATTGCGCTCCAGCCTGGGCAATAAGAGTGAAACTCCATCTCAAAAAAAAAAAAAAAAAAAGGATCAGACCGAGAAGCTCGTTGGCAGGGGTTGGCAAGGGACCGAAGACAGTGGACAATGAGGAGGGTTTGGACAAAGCTTTGAGCTTGGAAAGGGCAAGACAAAAAAGTGCCCATCTAGCAAACCTTTGAGACAAAGAATGGAGAGGACTTGGTGGCTTATGAAATATGGGAGAAGGGGGACCCGGATGTCACCTAGGACTGCAAGGCACCTCACTTGGGTGGAGGTGGCAGCAGTGACAGACATTTGTCCAGTGGAGGAACAGGGGTCAGGAGTAAAAGGAGACGAATTGCTGAGATTGTCCTCGGCCACACTGGTTGCAGGTGACCTGACCGTGGGACAGACCCAAGGCTTCCTGGGTCCCCGGACTGTGATCTCCAGGAAGGAACATAAGCTGTGAGTCAGCCCCAGGTGCTGGAGACTTGTCACACCAGCCCAGCACCTGAATGCCATCTCTGTGAACTCCTGACCCCAGCCCCAGCTGATGTTGGGGATGCCCACGTCTCAGAAAGAAGGGAAGCAGGAGGAAGAAAGTCTGGAAACTGTTGCCATGCCCCCTGTGGGCAGCAGGGCAGGCCTAGGCTCCGTTTTCAATGAAACACCTTGATGACACTAAGAACCAGTTATGGGGAGGGAACTTTTTATTTGAAGCAAGTGAATCATAGCATTGCCCCCCAGTGCCCTGGTATCCTGCCACAAGGAGCATCACACCATCTGGGCACAGGGCAGGGCCACCCCTGCCCACTCCCTCTCCACTAGCCTGGCATCTCAGCAGACAGCAGAGGGCAGCAGAAGCTCGGCTCTTGGGGCTCCTCCCACCGGCTCCCACCCTGTCCACTGAAAGACAGTGCTCCTAGGGGGCCTCTGTGGATTGGCAGTGCCAGGGCTGCAACATGCCCTCAGGACAGGCTCCACTCTGGGCGCCCTCACAGGTGGCTTGGGTTCTTGAAGCTCGGCCAGCTCTCGGATCCACCCAAGAGGCCTGCCCAGCTCCGGGGCCATGTCCCAAAGACAGGGTGAACCAGGGGATAGTAGCAGCCTGAGGAAGCGACAGCTCTGGGAAGAAAAGCAGAAAGGCTTTCAGTTGCGGGGGCCTCTGTCCATGGGTGAGCTGGGATTCAGGGCCAGGAAGGAAACGCCAAGGAGAGCAGAGGCAGACAGCGCTGGAAGCTCCCCGGGCTGCTTCTGCTGCTGTTATTGCTTTGGGCAAAGGGGCTTTGCCCCCAGGAGGCTAAGCAGGCCCTCAAAAGCTGGCACCGCCATTCTCATCCTTATCAGTTGCAGGGGGGGCACGATGGGGGTGAGCAGAGGGGATCCCCTCCAAGCAGAGAGGCAAAGTAACAGAGGCGAGCCCGGTGGACAGCACTGATTCTGCATGTATGCACACGTGCCCTGACATGTTTATAGATGGACATGGGGTGAGGATGGGGCGTGAGTGTGTAATTGAATGTGTCCATCCCCATCTACATGAGCATGCAGATGGGGCGGGGCAGGGCTGAGTGCACCCCAGGGAAGCAAG